GCAATAGGCTGTTACTAGAGGCAAGTTTTCAGTCTAACACAGGATAACTGTAGGCTTCAGTAATTAAGTGTTGAGATAAGGCACCTCTTACAGAATTACAACCTGTGAGTTATGAGCACTCTTTGATGTAGCTGCCATACAAATCAATTTTGAAAAAATTTCTGAACAACATTAAGTTGCCTGTGGCTTGACAAAGCATTTGCTAACTATGGTATGCACATTAAATTATTCTGAAAAATAGTCAATTAGCCATGGCACACAGCCAGCAAACATTCCTGGGTCCTTTGAAATAAGCCAGAAGATGAGCTGAAAGCTTCACCTCTGTACATCTGAGTTCCAATTACACATCTACACCCCTCTGATTGAGGAAAGCATAATTTTGATTGACAGAAAAATGAAACACTTAGCAATCAGAGGGATCACTGAGCATCACGAATGGTCACCGTGTCATTGGAAAACTGCTAACTGATACTCTTACCACATTCATCCATGAGTTGAGGTAAAAATCAATATATAATTTTATAGGAAAGACAGAGGAAGGACAATTATTATGGCATATCAAGCTACTCAGAACTACATGCTCTTCCCACAGTGGCAATATTTCCCATGATAAAGATACTGGCAAAAAGCCTTTTAGGAAATCTCAACAATATGGAGAGCCTTACAAGTCTTCCATTCTGAATTAGCATTTGTGTATCAGGAAAACATGGCTTTTTCAAGTCTGTCCATTTCCCTCACAAAAGCTGGACAGATAAAAGGCCTGCATGAAGATTTTTTCCCCTCTCAGTATTTTCAGTCCTACAGAAAGCTACAGAGGGACACCTTCAGAAGAACGTGACAGTTTCAGCTGGGATGGCTGTAGCACTGTGGGAATGTTGGAAGAGCCTTCCAGGGGGATTGGAGCAGAGAGGGACAGAAAACTCCAGCTGCTGACCCAGTACTATGCAACAGAAAGGTGACATCATCTCTTCTCATCACAGCATAGCTGTCCCTGTGGGAAGATTTTGCTACGGCAATTAACTTGAGCTCCAGTCCTTGAATGGGAAATCATGAGTTCAAAAACTTTGTGCCAGAAGAAATGGTTTATGCAAGAAGATGAAAACACATTTACTAACCCTTATTATGTGATATGAATAAATAATGTAAGAGCAAAATAACATTTATATGCTACAATGATAGACGTGTGAATGACAAACTCAGGAAAATTTCTCTGGAAACAAGAATAAAGATTATTTTGAAGGATGAAAAATTGAAGATTAAGTCAGAGGATGTCAATCTATGCAACAGGATCAGAAGTAGTCAGTGTTTCTTTTGTTTAACTGAAGGCTACTTGGACTCAAGTTATTTATTCTAATTATTTCTCCATGCTCTAAACCAGACTCAGATTTTCAGTGGTTTTTTCCCTTTGATTCTCCAACAGCGGCATAGGAGACCATTGCTAAATAATCCAATAAATAAATAAAGCAATAGAATCAATTCAAGAATTTGTCTTTTCTCTGCAAATATAGTGAGTAAATACAGCAACTGTAAGGACTGTCAGCACTGTCTCAAGGATTGTCACAAAGCTGAATCCATTCTGACAGACGGTACCACTTGTGGCAGAGCACACAGCCCAGGCAGACACCAGTGTCCCCACAGGGATCCACCTCTTTATCTGCTGCTCTTCACTGTTACTGGAAATGGAGGAAGCAGCACCTGTCAAGTGTTTCTCTTACTGGCAGGCTTGCACCTCTGTCTATGCCTGCATGCTGGAATCAGCTTGATCTTAACAAAAAAGGAGACTACTTCAAGAATCCAGAAGAAAACACCTCCAGTGTTTCCATTCCTGGCAGTGCTTATTTGCAGACACCAGGAACTTCAGAGTCCCTAAAACTCTATGACAGAAACTCCTACTGAGGAAGTTGAGGCAATCTGCTCACTCGAATTTGCAAAGGTTGGTTGGATGCTGTTCATGGCATTTTGGCAGCTCATCTGCTCCCTCCAGAGGCCAAACATACAAGGGTATTTTGCCTGGGATCCCTTGGGAATAAAATCAGCCAGCTGTGAAGAAGAGAAGGGCTGATAAAGCAGTACAGATGCTAGTGACTGCATCTGCTTCTTATGAAGTTTTCCTTTCTTGAGCTAACATCCTGAATATAAACAAAACCACTCTGCAACAGTTCTTTCTTTCTACAAACACATTTAAGAAAATAAGAAACTAACTCATAGGACAACAAACACAAAGTGCTAGATGTCAGGCTTACACAGCAGTCAATCAAGCGTGCAAACTACTGGTACCATGGTGCTGACATCCTGCACATTACATAAGCAAGTGAGAAGAAGAGACTGGTTACTCAATTTGATCCTAAATATTCGTGTTTTTTTTTTTTTTGTCACACTAGGCATTGAATGTCCTAAATATAATCAGTGTAATTAAAACAGCTGGATCCCAAAGGTAGCCCATGAACAAATGAGCACTTGAAAGCAGAAATGTTCAGATGCTGCTAGCAGTGCTCTACTGCTAGTATGTACTTCCTAGATGGAGTTACATGAAAGCTCTCATGCTTGCAGTTGGCCTCCATTTAGTTGATAGTGTGATTGTAAAAGATCAACCTTCAGCATTACATTTGATGGGCAAGATGCAGTACAAGCAACCAGAGCTCATCATAGGAATACTTACTCATGCTTAGTGTGATAAGGAGAGGGAAAAGGAAAGGCATCATCCCTGCTCATCTCTCCTCTTTCCCAAAGGGTATGCACATCCAGAGAAGTAAATCCTTACGATTCACTTTGTGTCAGAACGAGAAAGCATTGCCTACAACGACCTTCACAAAGGGCAAAAAAAGGGCACCAAGTTTAAAAAGAAAAAATATTTCAGACAGTACTATTTCCCTCTTCCCACAGTCCTTCTAAGAAGGCTGTGCTTACTTTAACTTTCAAGTCCTCATTTCCATGAAGCAGACAAGCTACCTACATGGCACTGTGTTTACAGGCAAAAAACTAGGTTTGAGCTACTAAGTCAGGTAAGAGAGGTTCTCAAGTCCCACAGCATCCACGTTCAGTAACAGCAAACGATTACGGTCCAGGCTGACCGCTCCCATTGTTGAGCAAGTTTCAACACTGCATCTCAGCTGGAAACAACATTTACCTCACGGCCCCGGGGGGAAACAGTTCCAGCACCAGCTCACAACCCAGATAAACCACAAGTCCTATCATCTCATCACGAAGAACCTGGTAAGGAAGAGCCAGGTGCCATATGGAGCAAACTGCCACTCTGCCATCAGCACGCATTCGCTCACGGCCATTGTGCGTGGAGCCACACGTACGTGTGGCAGCGCATACAGCACACAGTAACCTATATTTACACATATAAACTGCAACAAGGAAACAGCAGTCAAAGAGCCATGGATTACCAGTTCCTCAATTGCCCGAGGAAGGAGAGCGGTGAAGGCTTCTTTAAAACCACATACATTTTTTAAATGAGACAGTGCAAAGGATTAGGGTGGAAAAGCACTGGGGCTGCCCAAGCAAATGCTGCCACTCTAAAAGGCCGTTGAGACAAAAAAAGATTTGGTACAACAACAACAAAAACTGCTTCAAAGTTTTAATCACAAAACTCTCGGTGGGAAACAGAGAACACAAAGTTTACTCTTCAGTCGCAGAAAATCCATGTTTTAATTTCTGTGTTAAATTTCACGCTACAGGTAGAAAAGCCAGCAGCAGTTCTCAAAGTCAAACAAGTCTTATTAAAAAAATTATATAGAAATGACCACCTTTCATGGCGTCAGTCAGCAATCTTGCAGTCCTCTACCTGGCAGCTGCTGCCTTCTTTGCATGTAGACACTGAAATCAGAGCTCCTTGTGTAAGCAGCTTTTTACCTCCGGAGGAAAAAGAGACAATATAAAGCTGCCCAGTTTGCTCTGTGAAAGGGGTCTGGCAGTGGACAGAGAATGAGGACATTTATTTGAGAAAGATCAAGCAGCCTACCGTGAAATCAGTGAGATGGTGTTGAGCCAGAGCACTGAGAAGAAAATCACAGTTGAATAGCAATCTTCCTAAAGAGCTCTGCAGAATTTTGGGTGGGCCCGACAGGAGCTTGTGACCAATAAAGGCTGGAAACAATTCTGTGAGGAACAGAATTTCATCTTTGCCCCACAGCTGAAGCATCTTGTTCTACCAGAGAATTCTAGTACACTGAAGTCAGTTTCTTGCAACAGCAGCATATTTGTTTCTATTTCCCTTACCACTGACAATGTACTTTACACTTTTTCCTTATATGTACAAAAGTGTTTTTGGCAAGAATAAATTCTGTACTTGTATCTTCGGCAAACATTCACTGTAATTTAATCACCAGCTTCTCTGCTGCCACTACTGCATAGAAATCTTCTGCACCAAGCCTGGTTTTGGGAGTTTCTAGACCATTTTCAGAGCTGCTCGATGGTCTGTTCAATATGTTGAGGAAACCAGTAAGCCAGGGAACAGCTTATAAACCTCACCCTGAAACTTTACAACTTGTATGTTGATTCACTACTGAATGTTACAGACATACAAAGACAGAATCTTTATATATAATATCAGGGCAAGAGGAGTGCTATGTTAACAGCACATTTTCCCGATACCTAGCAAGTTCTTACTATGAGTTTTTAAAACCCATGTAATATTTGCCAAAAGTACTCAAGACTAAGAAATAGTTACTGTTGTATGATCTTCTCTTAGGAATAACAGATACTGTGAAGAAGGAAAAAGATAAAGAGAGACAGACAATTTGTGGGAATTTAAACCTAATGCAGAAATCCTCCTTAAAAAAATAATCCCATAAAGCCCCGAGGCCGCTCCGTATCTACAGACATTTTGTTTTACCTATTGGGGCAGTCATTTTACAGCATACCAAAAAGACTGTATAATGAATACAAGTTTCAAGAATCGGATTTTTATGGCACAAAAGGAATTTTTCCATTAACCTGCTTTCAGAGTTGTTAAACATATAACTGAAGACAAACAAACTAAGGCTACCACAAAATAATATTTTCATGATGATGTTAGTCTTTATTCAGCTTTAACTGACTCCTCCAGTCCAAAGGCGGAGAAGAATCTTTCCATTAATTTGTTTCAGCGACTCATTCAGGATGAAAAGATTCTTTTCCTACGTTTGACACAAATTTAATTTCTCATTTATATCGTTATTCAGAGTTCACATAAGCTTTAATGTTGTACCTTAGGCTGCATGGACTTTAAGATTAAAATAAAACTCTACTCTTAACATAACCCTTTCTATAATGTAAAAATATTCTACACGCTTAACATATCGTGAATGTTAACCATTTGCTTTGGGGAAAAACTATTTTAGTTTCTTTTTTTTCAGTACAGAATCAACTGCTACCGGTTTGTATGAACGCATCCCTGTTATGCTGGGTGCCACCCAGTGTTCATCTTCCACAACTACAACTTAGCTACTGAACACACAGAAGAGCTAAGCGTACAAGACAGTTTTTAACAACTGCAAATTTAAGATGCTGCTTATGGTTCATTGTTACTTCTCTACCCATCCGCTGTGGCAAATTTGCTTCTTTGAAATTATGAGTGTTCTTAATTATCAAAATCCGTATAAAAATAGCAGCATGCTACGAGACGTGAAAAGCAGATTCATGCATTATGAATTAAAATGCAGATTTCTGCCTTCCTTTTATATTATCAAAATCTTTTAAAGTTAATATCAAGGCAAGGGGTATAAGGACAGACACTGCATAGTACATTTTAATACTAATCTGAACTGGGTATTTAATCAAAATTCATGATAATTACAGGGTAAACAATTTTTATTTCAAAATACAAGTTGAACTGGTATTGTAGTGATGAAAGCACAAGAGGGGAAAACCAGAGTCTTTTACAGCCCATGTCTCTGTATCTCACTTATACCCGGAGCTAAAAGCTCTAATTGGTGAAGGGAAAATATTTGTGGCATTTCATTTAACCTTTGTGATAATCCAGCATTATCCATTTCTAAAGAAATATAAATACTTTAAAACAAACATTGAAAATAAATCCTTTTGACGTAACAAACTACACTCTTTACCAAGAATTTTCCGTCTTCTGAAAAGAAAGGTACTTCACCCAAAAAAATAATCAAAATATCAATGTAGAACAATCCTTGGAGGAAGAAAGTTGGAATGTAAACCTCTGTTCCAAACTAGATCTGCAAAAGAAAAAGAAAGAAAAATGATTTTATTCACACGTAGCTTTCATCAGCTCCGTCTTTAAGCTGTTTTTACATCTAAACAGGAAACTTCCTGAGCTCCATACAATAAGGTTTTTCCCTCAGCTTGCATCTCCCCTTTCTTAACGTGTGAACAATTACGTTCCTCCTATGCCCTCATCACCAAAGTGATGACAACTACGGTTACGTGGAACAGCAGAGCCGACATTCATACAAGTAGCACAAGCATAAAAAAGCCCCTAACTCTCAAGAACAGAAGCCCAAACAGAGTTTAAGTCTAACATCCCTAAGCACTGACTACTCAAACAAGTTCAGTGGCAAAATGAACTTTTCCAACCATTCTCCTGACATAAGCAACTATGGAGAGGTTCCACCAAGTCTTTCATGATGACTATGACTTTCAAAGCCATACATGATTCCCCGTAGACTGGGATGATCCTCAAGAGAGATTACTCTTATTTTGTTACTTCATGTCTCTTCTTTTCTTACAGCATGATATTAATACTACATAACATACCTGAGAAACCTGAAAATAATAATAGCTGCTCACTTTAATACATTATCCCACATTGTGATCCATTAGTTGGCAAATTGCATTTTTGCAATATTCATACAGCAATTTATCACGTTAAGATCTTACAATGGCTCCTTTATTAAAAGCACACATTACTACAAAGTGTTTCCAGCTACAGTAAGCTCAACCACTGACAGGTTCAAAGTGCATTTTTCAAAAGTTTGAAGAAAAATTCATCAAGATTTTGGATAGTTTGAAAGAAGCGATTGAAATGGAGAGCCTCAATGAGCTCAAAATAATGTAAGCACAAGGAGAATTGGTCATATTACCAACTCAGAGAAACGACTAAAAAGATGAAGACTTAAAGCATAAGACAATAACTTGAGTGGTCTATCCAATTAAGTTAACTCACTAGCTCAGTAAGTTACTAATTATCCCCTGAGCCAGCTGACCCTGCGCACATTCTTAGTGCTACAAAATGAAGCACAGCATCTTTGAAAAGATTTTATAGCAGATTATGATTTGAATTATAATACATTTTACTACTATAAGAGTGTACAGTCAGTTACTGCTTATCATAGTTAGTGATAAGCACTGACAAGTGAATGTGACAATCTGCGAATTCGTGATTACCATTAACCCCACTACTGCTAAGGTGCAGCTTTTATGATTTTTAAGAAACACAACATGGGACAAAACCAGAGATTTAAGATCTTTTTTTAAAAAATTAAAACAACAACAAAAACCCCACAAAAATCTTTCAGTTGTTTCTTACTAGATGGTGAAGTTGCTAAGACTACAGAGAAATCAGGAAGTTGAAAGCCACGTTTTTGATGCAACTCCTATACGAACTACGACCTGCTCCATAAATGTGTCCAATACAGTTTGCATTCACATAATCCTTGGCTCATCCTGCTTCAACTGAACTGGCCAAATCTGCCCTATTTGACATGGGAGCTGACCCACAAGTCTTTGTGCAGGCTGCCTGGGATGTCTTTCTAGCCTAAGTGATCCTAAAAGTAAGAAATCCTAATAGTCTGCTAAACCTTTCTATATCATCTACCTTGATTTCCATCATGAGCTTGTTGTAATGAGCTTACAGTTCAGAGACCAGTACCCAAGGCTGCATTCAGCTCCTTCAATATTCAGCTGTGTCCATACGTCTAGTTGGTGAGTCCTGTAATGGTAACTCCTCCCCCATACATACATGTACACACACACACAACCACTTGGATAGCCACTGCCACCTAAATTTGTGTCCTTGGGGTCAAATGACTTTGACTGTGAGCACCTTAAGGGTAATGAGAAGACTGCTCAAATTTTAACAGTATGAAACTAAATACACGTGTTTTGTGTAGAGATAAACTAGAAGAGGAACACAGAACAGAAAAGAGAACAGAAAGCTGGTGTGCTCATGTCCACACTCCTTTCCGAAGCAGTCCCTGGGTCAAACATCTGCCAGGCTTCTCTGAGTAAAAGCATTCAAGTGCCTTACTCCAGAAAGGATTCAGGGGGCTGAGGAAGTGAAGGAACAAGTCCCTGAAGCATGCAGATACACCAAGCACCACAACACTCTTCAAGAACAAAATCCTTGACAAAGTAAGCTATTCTGAACACTCGTGTATAGTTTTAGTTTCTCCAAAAAAACATCGAAAGACAGCTTGCTGTCAAAGACGAGAGTTTTAAATATATCATACGGAACGTGTCTACTACTTACATCATCAATATCTTCATCATCATCTCCAATATCATCAAACTGGATTTCATCATCATCTCCGGGACCAAATGTGTCTGTTTCATTGATTTTAGCTAAAAAAGCATCCAGAAAGTTAGGGAGAGCATTCATACCGAGTCAAGATAGGCTACGTATTCTTGTCCAACTTGAACTTCCAGTTTGAACTGAAAACGTTCTTACCATGTTCTGGAAGCTCCCCATATGCTTTCAGACTTCTGGCTTCATCTGCATTATACTTTAGAATAACATCAGCTTTGTTATCCTAAATAAGAATTTATTAGAAGGTATTAGTCATTTACGATGGAAAAAAAAACTCCCTAAGAAGTACACTAAACTAGTAACACCTGTATTACTTACAGAACAGTAGTATTTTCTTCCACCTTTATCTCTACTCTTAATCCTGAGGTAAAAAAAATAAGTGCTCTTGGTAGAATATTTTCATCTGTGCTGGGAGATACTCAATTTTGTTCTGCTAGCAGTCACTTGAGAAGCCTGGTTTCATGTCTTTAAAATTAACCTTCCCAGAAGATGCATAGGGAGGTGTTTGGTGGTCAGCAAGAAAATGTCAACATTTTCTAGTTTTAAGCAATTTAACACATGCAGTGAACAACATCTTGGATGTTTTACCATATCTAAGCAGAATTTATCCTTGAACCACTGATGACAAAATGCTGAAACTCATGAAAAAGCATCTAGCCAATGAAAATTTACATTAGGTAAAGTTAAACTTCTAGAAATAGAATAATGTAAGTAGAAACTAATTGGTGATTAAGAGGCTGCTCAAGATAAATGCCACCACCAAGGATGCAAAATTCTGATTACTGCAACAAAATGTTTGGTGCTTGGCTCCATCTTCCCTATTTCACAGGACCCAAGCATCAAACAGCTACACCTGGAAAAAAATAAAAGGTCAGGTGTGAAGCTAATAAGGCCAGGGTGACTGCCAACAACATGTGAAGGAGCAATTAAATTTGGCAGAACAAGTTCAACCAGGATTTGTCATCTACTCAAGACAATCTCTGTAACGTGAGGAAATTAAAAATCCTGATTTAGCATAACCAAGCACAAATTCAAGCAAAATTAGATGTGGTTTTTCTCAGGATGCCTGCTGTAACTTCACACCACACAAAGCTGGTTGTAAGCTATTTCAGTGACGGACTGCATCGAATGCTTACCTGGTAGTCTCGTAAGCCAACCAGTATAATATCAGAAGTATTTATCCAAACCTGCAAGAGGAAGCATATGCTACATTATAGGAATTCAATTTCTTGTTGTATAATGCAAAACTCAAACATAACACATTTAATTTTACTGTACAATGTTAAGCATTTCACTACAGCCACCATTTTCACTTTCAACCCAATAATCTGGAAATGCTAACTTTCTATTTTCACTGAAAAATCAAGCACCTAAATACTAGTACAAATATTATTTAGCAAGTTACGGGGCTATTATGAAGGTAAATCAGACTTCTTTGAAGAGCTTCTAGCCAACAAGGTGGTCATTAAGTCATTACTTCCCAGAGACCAACAGAAATAATGCACTGAGCCACCCCTCCGAGCTGAGCTCCACAACAGCCAAAAAAGTTGGTGAAGGAGGTGATGAAAAATCAGTCACAAACCCAAGAAAACAAATGAAGCTGTTCCTAGTAACTGGCTACAGTAATCCATCAAACCAAAGCCCTCAGAAACCTGCAGAACAGGATATACTGATAGAAGTGCACATGATGGTCCTATTCCACAGCAGCTCGCTTTCTGCGGATGGAGAATGTCTCCGTTTGGACTTGCTTCCGACGTGAGGAATAGCCTTCTGTGGTGACAAATTAATTCTGCTGTAGGCAACATTTATCTGTGAACGTTCTCCACCACCTTTAACAGTTGGAGCAGCAACACATTGCTGGCAGCCTGCAGGGCTCACAGTGATTCCAAAATATGTGCAATGATCGGCCCCTGAGAATTAATGGGCAGAACAATCCCGAATGAACACAGCGACTGCTTCTTCTTACTGGGAACAGAATGTGAGAGGGACACCTGCGTACCACACAGCAGCAAAGGACAAAGCTGTAACAACCAGAAAGGGCAAGAGATGGCACCAAACCATCCAGAGGTGCTGAAGTTAAGACTGATAATGCACACACCCTCCTGGAGGTAAGGAGTTTTGCAGATCTGCTTTGTACTAAAATGTTTTAGGAACTGACGAAGCAGACAACGAAGGGATGGCATCCGAGAGGCCTGTGGAAGCCGTAAGTTTGCCCCAAGCCCCTGTCAGAACTGCTCTCAGATAAGTCACCCAGTGAGAGGATGATTACAAATAATACTCAGTTCTTCTCCAGTACAAAGAATAAGCTAAGCAAGGTATCAAAACATGATTCAAGTTTCCATAATATGAAAAGCTGGCATTTCATAAGCAGTCTGATATCTCCTCTGAGGTACGTGCATCTGCTGAGGGCGGCCCTTCAACTCTGGAGCTGCACTCAAAAACCAGACTGCCTATTTTTGTGCCCAGACAGTGCAGATACAAGAAAAAATAGTTTACTACTAAAAACAAAATTTAAGTTGTTAAGTACAGAACAAGAGTTCTTTCTACTGTAAAGAGCTAATTACTTTTTTTGTTTCCTTCCAGTTACTTATCATGCATAATGCTGCTGTTTCAGAATTACCTTTTTTCTTAGTTTCCCTCTGATATGACATAACCTCTTCACGCCATCAAAACACAATGCCTCCAGTCTTCCATTGCCCAACATCTTGATCACCTGGGCATACTCTGAAAGAGAGGGTAAGAGAGAGTAATAACCTGGAGACACAGAATAACTTGTGTCATGTAACCAAATTCTGGTGTAACATTTTATCAAACACAAACCTGGAGTGGACCTCTCATCAGCCACACTGGCAGCTGTTCTTGTATCCTTCCTGACACTGACATGAAAGCACTATCACAAGCAGCCACTCTTGGTTGCATTCATGCTTTGGTTTCCTCTAAATGCTTCCTAAAGATAACTTTTAGAGCTAATGAGTCACGCTCAAGAGTTTATTACAGCAGCACAGCTCCTGTCCAGCCAAACCCCTATGTTACCACTGATAGCAGAGGAGGATGTGCTACATGCTGGATACCCCCACCACTACTGCCAATCCTTTCTTCAGAGACTCTATGGATACAGCTGTTATTCTCAAAAACTGTCTGAAAGGCATCCCTGTAAACACAGGCTTCACCTCGAAGCTGTGTAGATTCTCTCCTACACTCTATTAAAGTTTGCAACATAATGCATTCCTATTTAGCAGAAAATAATGTGGCTTTTGAGAATGATGTTACCCGACCATCCCTGCATGCAAAGAAAATAAATATTCTCAGTTAGAGTCAGAGTTACATTTCAATACTCTAAAATCTTTCCACAGCACAGGATGGACCGTCCAGCAAACCACATCATGACATTACAAACTGTGCAGATCTCATTACATAGATTTTGCTTGGGAATTTAAAAGGATTTTAAATTTTATAGGTGCATCAAAATCAAGCCCTTTTTGCTTACAATTATCGTGGAATATGAACAAGAGATTAAAGAAACACATTCAGCTGTCCCTGTCTGTGCAGCAATTTAAATCAGTACTTCTCCAGTGTTTCTAATAAACTGTGTTTACCCGGTCCCAGCGCTTAGCTGGTGGCTAGGCATGCACTCAGGTATACGTGAGCCACAGCCAGAGCATGACATGCAGGACAGGGTGAGCCAGAGGGCAGGTGAGATCACTGCCATCAGAAGGCAGAGGACAAGGGAATCCTGGCCACCAACCTCCAGCTGAACACTTCTGTTGCTCACTGCACCTGACAACACCACAGAAAGGGCTGCACCTCTTGCTCCTGCTCTAGTAGCTGCCAGGTATGCCATCCCCAGCCCAGCAAGTTAGTGAAGCCAACAAGGTTCAGTGAGAGAACAGAGATTATGTTTTAGCCAGGTCAGTGACTTCAGAGATTCCACAGAAAACCCCAAGAACCATACAGCTGGCAAAGAACAGGCATTGGGACTGTGCATCCAAGGGACAACCACCAGCTACCAGCAGCAGGGCAAGCTACACACAGAAACCCAGGGGACACCTATCTTTATTCCCCACTGCCTTTGAGTTCCTCAGACATCCAGATACTATCTTTGAGTACCAAATTCAATGTGCAGGATCTGTGGTGACAGGACAAGGGGAAATGGTTTCAAGCTCATAGAGATTAAATCAAAGAGGCTGTATTTAGGTTAGAAGTGAAGAAAAAGTCTGTCTTTTACAGTAATGGTGGTGAGGCACTGGCAGAGGATGCCCAAAGACGTGGTTGATGCCCTGTCCCTGAAGACTTTCAACATGAGGCTCGATCAGGCCCTGGGCAACCTGATGTAGCTGTGGTGTACCTGTTCATTGTAGGGGACTTGGACTAGCTGGCCTTCAGAGATCCTTTCCAACTCTAAGGATTCTATGAATGTATGCGACTCACTACCTGACCGAAGCAACAGCACTGTGACACCACACTCAGAAACTCACCTTGCCCGTCTTCCTTGAACACCAGCTCTCTTTTTTCTGACTCATTCTCATTCTTACCTCGTCTTCTGTTTTTACCTCCTTTACCTAAAAGTTACAAGAGAAGAAAAGAATACACGTTACTGCCTGTCAACACAGTAAGTTAATCAAGGGGACTTTGGTGCATTTTCTACATGTCAATCTTGAGCGCCTATTCAGATTATAACATTTTTATTTTTAAAGTTATAAGCAGGTGGCAATACCCATCAGAAGAGCTGCAGCTGTTTCAGAATGGCCTGGGTTGAAAAGGACCACAATGATCATCGAGTTTCAACCCCCCTGCTATATGCAGGGTCGCCAACCACCAGACCAGGCTGCCCAGAGCCACATCCAGCCTGGCCCTGAATGCCTCCAGGGATGGGGCATCCACAGCCTCCTTGGGCAACCTGTTCCAGTGCGTCACCACCCTCTGAGTGTAAAACTTCCTCCTAATATCTAACCTAAACCCTCCCTGCCTCAGTTTAAGACCATTCCCCCTTGTCCTATCACTATCCACCCTCGCCAACAGCCGTTCCCCCTCTATCGCAGCCCTGAATGCCCGTAACGCCGCGCCGCAATCCCACGCTGTATGACGGCGCTTTTTAAAAGGCACACACGTGGCGACGGGATCAGGCGGCGTTCGTGGGGATGCAGAGGAGCGGTTCGGTGTTTCCCACCCCCCGTTAAGAAGCCCGCCGCCGACCAGCAGCGAGCCGGGATGCGACAGCGCTCGCACGGAGGGGCCCGGCCCGCCCTGCCCGCCTTCCCCCGCAGCAGCCCCGTTCCACAGACCTCCCACACGCCGCCGGCCCGCGACCCGCCGCGGTGCGAGCAGCGAGTGCAGGCCGAGCTGCCCGTGCCCGCCGTGGGGCCCTCAGCCCCCCTCGCAGCCCCGCACGGTGGCACCGGGCCGCGGCGAGCAGCACGTGAGAGGCGGCGGCGGGCGGCGAGCGAAGCCCAGGCCTCCGCAGCGCGGCCGCTCCCGGGCCCGGCTTCCCGAGGCGGCGGCGGTGGGGACAGATCGGGGGGAGGCCTCACCTTTATTCTTGGGCATGGCGGCGGGCGCTGCGCCGCGCGGGGCTGGGTAGGGGCGGTAGGGCCGGTAGGGCCTTCGGGCGGCTCCTGCGAGGCGGAGGCAGAACCGAGCGGCGGCTGCGCGCGGGCTGAACGGCGCGGCCGAGGCTGCGGCTCACTCGTACTTTCCTCCCCCACGGCGCCCCCCGGCGGGTCGGAGGACTGGAGGGCTCGCCGCTGCCTTGCGGCGCCGCTTCCCCTGCTCTGCGCACGCGCACCGTGGGGAGAGGCGAGAACGCGCGCTCCTGGCGACCGTCAGGTCCTTGCTATGGCGTAGCGTCGCCTTCGTGGGCGGTGCGAAAGGCGGGCGCGGGCAGCGACAGCCAATCGGAGGCTGCGAGAGGCGGCTCTTGGCGGGAGCGGGAAGGCTCGTGTCCCCGCCCCGAGCGACGTGCGCGGATGGGAGGGCAGCCAGCGCCCGGCTGCGGGAAACTCCCGGCCTTGGCTGGGGGGAGAACAACGCTGCCACAAGCGATAGGCGACAATCCTTTACCGAAAGGACTGTGAAGCAGTGGAATAGGCTCCCCAGGGAGGTGGTTGAGTCACCATCCCTGGATGTGTTAAAAACCGTTTGGATGTGGTGCTCAGGGACATGATTTAGTGGAGGGTTGTTAGTTAGGGTAGGATGGTTAGGGTGTGGTTGGATTCGATGATCTTTAAGGTCTTTTCCAGCTTGAGTGATTCTAGGATAAGCTGTTACAAAGGCCAAACAGTGAGTGCTTATGATATTGTATCTCATATAATATATGCAAGCATAGGTCAGTGTTAGTGATCAACAAGCAACAGCTTTTATAATGAATAAGTTACCAACAAAGCAATTTCTTAATATGTTTGAAAGTTTATTCGCAGTAGAAATCTTGATTTCTTTTGAAGACTACAAAACCTGCCATTGGACAGGAGTACAAGCAATGATCTCTCTCCAGAACTGCTCATAGTTACATCTGGAACAGTTCTAATTACACATCAATAACATGATTGGAACACTTCCTAGATCAGACTCTGAATAAAACAATCATTTAAAGTATTCAGTACATTTTTTTTTAATTTTAACTAGCATTTCAACTCTATTATGATAGCAGTGCCAAGCATCTAACAGATGCTATTGTAATGGTCTTGCTTAAGGTACAATACCACTGACCTCCAGGAATAGTACCTTAGACTCATGTGCCATGCTGAGAAAACTAGTATAAAGTATGATTGTACAGAACTGTAGAAAAATATTTTATCTGTGATTTTGTCATTTTTTAAAAATGTTTTAAGTAGGCTCCCCCCAACCCTCCCTCCCCCCCTCCCGGTTCAAAATAATTACATCCCTCATAAGTACACCTTCCCTTTGATTAGGTCAAGAGTATCAAGATAAAGCTAATTTACATCATTTTCGTAAGTGAAAATTCAGCTATTACCCATTGCTGCTTACAGACCAGCATTATCTCAAGTCCTTTCCTTCCAATAATAGAAAAGCACAGCTTTAGTTGGTACACCACATTTACAAAGCAAAACACACACACACACACACACACACACATACAAAAACAAGCCCGGACACACAGTTCTATTTTCTTGTCCTTCTCTCTTTAGACAAAAGTTTTAAATAATCTCTTGAACAAAACTTGCAAGGAGTTTTTCAATGCTATAGTAATGATGAATCAAGAACTTTGCCCTTACTGGATATAGATGGCATTTCATAACTACTGCAACTGCTCTCTCCCCTCTGTTCTCTCATGCTCTAAAGTATAGTAAGTGGTAATCTCAAATGAAATATGACAGGTGGGAAAACCCACCTGTATCTGCAGTTCTCCTTTTTCTAATACACCACAGCTTGGTATCCTACAGACAGCTGCTAGCTTTGCACCACCCAGCAGCCCAGCAATGAATGTACACAGTGTCACACACGCTCAAGTTCTAAAAGAAAGATGCAAGGATTCAAAGAAGCATTACGTGGATTTCTCTGTAGCTTCTCATAACTGCAGCTACAAAACAAAGCGTGACAGTTGTGAGCACGGCTCCAAAACCAGAGGTGAGGTACTTAAAACACATGAGCCAAGCCTGACAAACATCTCACCTGTGAAGACGGGCCACTTCCACCTTGCTTTAGAAAATAACTTAAAATACAGTAACTCCAGGACTTCAGCTCACTCAAGCTGTTACACACTGAACTGTTTTACTGGCATTTAAAGGTCCATCTTGTGCTGCTATATACAAGATGGTCTAGACTAAAGGACCAATTTACATGAGAATGTGGGTATCTAAAAATGCAGCAGTCAACACTGCTTGTCTGTTTGGCTCATGACCAGTGAGCCTAAGGGCCACAAAATATTGCTGAAATGAAACTAGTGAAAATTTTGTATTTTTTTTTTAACATAGACGTTGCCAATAGAGAAGCATCTTAATACTTCCTTTCGGCCTCTTCTGCACCAGCTACCTATGCATGTGCACTCTGAGAACATGGGAGAAATTCCTTCCTGAGCTGAAATGTCATTATTGACACACAAAGTACTGCCAACCCCCTCATTCCAACAGGACCCATTTTAAATAACTTGCTGGCTAGACATGACAATCTTCGGGTTACCTTCGGGTTAACACCTGCTTTAAAACAGCTCCAGAAGGTGTAGTTTCTAGGATGTGATATGCCTGTCTTACAATCAGTTACAGAACTGAAAACATGTCATCTGAAAGGCAAAAAAGTTTTTACTAAATACCTCTGGAAATGCAGACACTGTCAAGCAAAAGAAAAAAAAAATACAAATCAAGATAGCGTTTTTCAGCCTCTGGTCAAAGATGTTTCTTGAACAAAGGGCAGATGCATCTATACAGCTGAAGGAAACTGCAGTGCTAGAACACCAAGGGAAAAATACCAACTGCCATGAAGAGCTGTGTGCTTACATTTCTAGAATCTACAATAATTTAACTACCGTTGTTTCTAAACTGATTCCTTAACAATTACAGGTAATACATGAATCCGACTGGGTCAATGTTTCATAGTTAATTATAATGACCCTTTCTTAGCACATACAGATCAGGATGATTCTCCTCTCATTTTATTTTGCCTATCGAAGTGATCTGAGGAAAAAAAAAACAACAGAGAAAAGCCAACAGAACATTGGAGTCACTGGTTTGGCAACTGTAACAAATGCAGTATAAACCTACTTTTTCTGGGCTTACTAGTGGACATCATGTTTTGCTTTATCTTTGATGCTGCCTTTTTTTCTATAGTGCCAAGATTCATTGAACAAATCCTCTGCAGCTTAAACGAAAGTCACAGAATAGAGCTAAAATATTAACAACAGATTATAAGCATAAACAATATAGGACTGTCCTCTATCAGAAAGTATTCAGCAATGATTCCTGAGTCCAGAAATTAGATGGGGGGAAATAAAAGGGAGGAGGTGGGGGCAAAAGACAGTGAAATATGGAACAAGTTATCTTTTTTCTCCATTATATCATCTATGTATAGACAGTATGGTGAGAGATGCACTGTTTGAATTTTGAATACTATAAACAGCATCCTGATTTTCCTAACATGACATGCAGCGTCAAAAACATGGAAATGTAGAAAAAACATAGGCAAGAGAAATACATATTCGTAGTATTACATTCAATAGCTGTTTAACAGTCAGGCTTCTTTTAGAGCTGTCCAACATTACTGATTAATCCAGGTGAACTGTTTAATCAGACTTAATTGTTAAAATGGTTAATAATATCTAAGTAAAACAAGGCATGTATACATTAAAGAAAACAGCACAGAAAAGTGCTGCTCATGAACTGTTTACAAAAACATACAAAATGTCAGATGGCACAAAGTATATAGTGCTAATATAAACAGATAGTTTAAGCTAAGTGCTTAACACAAACTGTCCATCTCTACCTGTAACAAAGAATGTTTCAGGGGACAAAAATATTCCTTATAAAAATAATGCTATGTGGTGCAGAGTGCTTTATTCAGTGTATTTTTGACAGAGGTGGTATTCATAATTCTTCTGGTTTACTCAATTGTGGACATGATTGTTTGCATTGTGTTTCCACTTTTCACTCCATTTGAAGCTCCAGTAAGATCAGCAACTTGCCATCAACAGTTTAAAGCGAGAGTAGATGAAAGCAGTAGCAGCAGCAGGAGCAGCAGCATTATAGGTACCAGCTGGGACAGAGTGTGCTTGCAGGTATCTGTGAGATATGTGCTACCTGTCGCCATGATTTGTGCTATCATCTTATACCAAGGTACCAAATATCTGGTTGAGGTCACTTCACAGGGCTGTTGAGGTAATCTTTTTTATACCTCTCCTCTGAGCAAGGGTAGATCGGCCAACTGGCTCCAAAACTGGTGACTGATTACGATTCAAAGCAGAGTAAGTTGCTGCCATTGCACCCTGTTGTGAGAATGTCAGAGAGGAAAAGCAAGAAGAGTTCATTATGTATATCACTCACATCAGAGATTGCACAGCAGTAAGTGTCAGAGACTGATGACAAGTTTTAAATTCTAGTCTTATTTTCACCTACAAAACAGAAACACACTGCTGCATTGTTCAAACAGCAGCAGTGCTGTGAGTTTTGTAGTGTAATAGTTTTCAGATCAATCTGAAGCTATTGTATCCCGATTAAAAAAAAAAAAAAAAAAAGGACCCAGAATGTAAAAGGAGTACAGGAAAACTAAATTTTCTCTGTTCTTTATGAGATAGTTAGGGAATTAAATCCCATCAGCGGGTTGTCCCTGTGTCATTTGCACAACCATTTACATTTTCAACATGATATTTAAAAGTCACCCCCATTACTCAGCACATGATTTTACTGGCTTTTGAAAACCTCAAAGTTGTGAGCCATGGGATCAGAATCTGCTCCGCTTTCCACTTGTGATTTTGGATGCCAGAAATTCCTAATAACTTACACAGAGGGATTATATTATTACATCATAATTATATCATAATTATCATAATTATATTTTTCAGATTCCTTTTTTGTTGCTTTTTTTTTTTTTTTTAATGTATTTCATTGTACCTTCAGTCCTACAGAGGAGTAGAATTAAACTTCTGGTTACCCACAGCTCCTTCAAAGTGAGAAACTGTAACATGGCCA